CGGCCGTTCGACGCCATGCCACCGTAGCGGGTCCAGTACATCTCGGGGCCGGGAAGCGAGACGTTGGCGAACTCGTGGTCGCGGATCGTGCGGCGGCGACCGGAGGCGGCAGGAAGGATGTCGCCCATGACGCACAGCCAGAAGGTGCGGTTGCGGACCTCGGCAAGAGTGTAGAACTCGTGGGTAGACAAGTTCAGGCGGGCCGAGGGCGGAGGCAGCAGGCCGTTCGCACCCGGGCGCAGCACGGACAGGGCAACGTCGAGGTAGAAGAGGCCGAGGCGTGGCTGACGTGTGGACGTGAAGTAGACGCTGAGGATGAGAGCGCTCTGCACAAACTCAGTCTCCTCCCAAGTGCCCGAGTCCATCTGGTGGTCCTCCTCCGTCCAGCGGTTGCGCATCTCGACGATGCGGTCGAGGTTGGCGCTACACCGGTCGGCAAAGGGCTTGCCGCGGAGGTGCGACGGCATCGATGCGGGGAAGGCCGAAACAAAGGCGGGGTGCTCGCACAAGCGCGCAGCCAGTGCGTAGATGGCGTCCATGAGGATGGGTGACACCTGACCCAGGTACTGCCTGTGGAGGAACGTCGGCACATGGAGCATCGAAGCATAGGGGGGCGTGCGCTTGAGGAAGACTAGAGGTCAGCTGCAAATCTTCACACAAATTAGCTAGACTCACTGTCAAGGAGCTCAGCGGCAAGAGCAGGGTCGTTCTCGACGGCCTCGAGAGGGCCGTAGGGAGGGTGGTCGCCGCTACGCCAGTCGGCCTCGCTGCCAGAGGCCCCAGGGTAGTCACGGCCGGCCCAGTCCTCGCCGGCAGGTCCCGGAGCCCCGTTCAGCTTGCCACCACTCAGCCGACGCTCGGGCACAGGAACGGCCGGAATGAACTGCTTGCCGTCGCTCGAGGTGCCCTTGTTCATCGGAATGGTGGAGGTGTCACGAGTGCGGGGCGGCGGGATCTGCTCTCCCTGGGCGTTCAGGTAGATGCAAGGGCGGGCGGAGAACTCGCAGTTCGAGCAAGGAGCGAAGCCATCGCAGCGACGCTTGTTCTTGTGACAGGCACTGCAGGCCTTCGCAAGACGTTTGCGCTTACGGCCCTTGGTCGTGAGTTCCTCCTTCTCAATCTCCTTCGGTCGAGGAGCAGGAAGGGGCTCACGGCCGGGACCGCCAAAGCCGCCGGCACCGAACATAGTCTCGTTGTACGCGATGCTGGGCATGCCGGGGCGGGGCGCAGGACGGACAGGATGCGGCGTGGTCTTGGCGTCCTTGTCCATCTTGGGCGTACGTGATCGGGGTTGAAGTGGCGGGGGGTTGGATTTGGGAGCCTGAGCAGGCTCAATGGGGTTTTCGTTGGCCATAGGTGCCACCTTCGAATGAGATGTAGTCAATTGACAAAGAGTTGGGCGTTCGAGCGAGCACAGCTCAAGCTTCAAAGCCTTAGGTCGAGTCGGTGATGGAGAAGAGGAAAGTCTCAAGCGGCAACAGCTTTCGTTGCCGATATCAGCACGCGGCTAATGCTTCAGATGTGGCTGCGTTATTTTCTTCTCGTCTCGCAGGTCGCGTCTGCTCTGCAATGCGCCACCTCCTTTGTGGTGAAGCGGCAGGAGAAATTGCAATGCGGCTTGGGACGAGCTTGGGGCCTAAACGAGGCGTTCAGAGGCGTCGACTAAGGCTGCTGTTGGTCATGAGGCCAATTTGGTCCGAACAGTCACAGGAGCCAGTCGTTAGTGGGTCAGAGTAGTGCCAGATGTGCCCAAGGAATTGTTTGTTTTGGGTAGAATGCGGGGGTGCACAGGCGCAAAGAAGGGTGAGGCAGGCGGAGGAGGGGAGTGCCGAAGGTATGGGAGGGGGGGAGTAGGCGGTGGTAGCGGTCAGTCAATACGAATGCAGGGCCGGACGAGCCGGAATGAGGGGCAACATCGGATGGTCGGGGCAGCAGGTGGGGTTCGGCGGCGAAGTGAGGAAGGGGCGGCAGGCGAGACGGCGTCGAGCGAAGGGGGCGTGAGACGAGATGAACGAGTTGCCGAAGCGAATCAGGCGGTCAAGGCGGCCCAAGCGGTGAATGACACAAGCGAGACGAGCGGGCGTCGGACGAAACACGATGGTCAGGTATGTGCCAGGTGCAGGAATGGCCAGGAGGGGAGCGGTAGAGCGGTCAGGTCGGTGCGCGAGCCGGCGGGAATTGCAACGATGGAGGACGGATGAGCCCGAGAGGCGGCACAGAGGCGGCAAAGATGGAAGCCAAGCCGACAATACCGAGGGGTCGATGCGGGGTGAGGTGAGGCAGACGCCGGCGGTCAGATCAAGCACCGTGCGTTTTGCGGCAAGAGCGGCAAAGTAGAGTGACGGCGGCACGAGCGTGGGCGGATGAGCGGACGAGAGGGTGCGATGGAAGAAGACGCATAAGGAGGCGAGGCGGGGACAGGCGAGATCGAAGCGGGGTATAGCAAGAGTAGGAGGTCAATGTCAGCTCTGGTTCTGTGCGTTTTTCTCTGCCGGTGCTCGCCGGGCTCGCGAGCGACTCACCCTTTGGGTAGTAGTGTGGTGGTAGTGAGCGACAGGAAACGGCCGGCGTCGGGTCAGATGTCGGCAGTTATCAAGCGGCAGTCGGACGTCGGATGACAGGTGTAGATGGGCGTTGTGGGCGGTGTCGAGATGGGATCTGGTGTTGCGGGATGGAGAGAAGGTGAGATGGGATGCATTCCAGCGGCTACGGGTCGCGGCGAGCGGTTGCGGCGGGCGAGACAGCAGCAGGAGAGCAGGAGAGGAGGAGCGGCAGAGGGGGGGCGCTAATGGAGAGGCCGGGGATGGACCAAGGATCAAGGGCTTTGCGGGGGTGACTAGTGTTCTTCTGGTGGGTGGGTTGCCACTGGGCTGGGACGGACGGTGCAAGGAACCGGGGCCGGGGCCGGGTTTGCGCGTCTGTTCGTATGCCGGCGGCTGTTTGGGCCCAGTAATTGTTCCTTCTGCCCTCGCCAGTCTCCTGTAAATCCACTCTGTCTCCGGACATCGGCTCCCTCTCGCCCAGCCAACCACAACCGCCGGTATCGGCCATGCATGTGCTGCTCCTCCTTTTTACCCCACACTCGCCTCGCAAGTACGTTCGCCTCTGGCGAGCGCGAGCGCGTGTCGTTGTGCCCTTCCGTCCCGTCGCCGTCTCCACTCGACGTGGGGACTGGGGATGCAGGACACGCCCGCTCGATCGAAACGAGCCTTCCTTGCTTGCTTGCTCTTTTGTCATGCACACCGGTCCCTCTGGCATCCTCTGCCGCCTTGGCCCATCTGCCTTTAGTTTGGAGCCCAGCCAGAGCTCCAGAGCCCACTTAGAGTGCTCCAGTTATCCTGGATCGTGAGTCTGGCAACCCTTGGTCGCTTTGGCGGCCTTGCCTTTGCCGCTTAGCACAAGTCCAGAGGGCCAGAGTCCTATCGCAGTTGTCGCTGGTGGAAGCGGGATTCGGTACTCGGTGTAAACAGGGATTGGTCGGCGTGTGCCGCTTGCATAGAGCCATTGCCGCATTGCCAAAAGGTGAGGTACCATGGTGGGTGGGGGCGTTCCGGCGGTAGTGCAGCTGGGCCTTCAGGGTCCGCCCAGCTGCCCATGCCTGTGTGCGGCATGCTTCAGGCGCAGCCCAGCCCGCACCGCACAAAGCCGGTTTCCCCGCATTCTGTCACTCCTCCACTGTACCGCTATCGGCACCTCCTCCATACCTTGATCTGACATCGGTCTGTCCCACAAACGTTGTTAACTCTCATGCATACTTTCACAATTCTCACAACAGAAACATTACTGGGGATCGGGTCGGTAAGCCCGCTCCGGGGCGGGGTCAGGCGGGCTCGAGTCCACCGACAAGGCTGGCTCGTCAAAAGCAGAATTTTGCATTTGCCGTTGCCGCGGGCGTGTGTGCACTCGTAATCTTACCCCGCATTGTGTTGTGGAGAGGCCCCGCAATCAGCGCCGGACCGAACCGCATATTTCCGACAGCACGTACATGCAGCACGGATGGCAAGGCACAGGTCGCCCATGTGCCACAGCCGCCGGTTCCTCTCCCTCCACGACCCTGGGATCAGGGTGTCTGGAACCTGGGTTTCTCCAGCGCGGCCAGCACTTCCAGCCAGGCGGCCGGGCGGAGCGCCTGAGGCCGCCCTGGCACTTTGGTGTGGAGCGGGCAGCGCGCGCAGCACAGTTTACCGGATTTACCAGGCCGGCCTTGGCCCCCGCCAAAAGGCATTCTCCTTGGGCGCGATAATCGCTACAGCCTGCCAAAAAGCGGCACATGACCATGTCCATTCAAGGACAAGGTTCAACATGCAACCTTCGAAACGTCAATGACGCATGTCAAGAACTCCAGACGTGGAAAAACATTGGATCATTGGTCCATTCCCCGCTGTCGAAATCGCTCATTGCTGCACTCGGCATCGGCAAGACCTCGGCATAGTCTGTTCTACGGCGGGGTGTAGGAGTAACTATTTGGTCTTGTTGTTGCACGGCATAGTGGGAGTATGGGAGCACCGCGGCCGGCCGTCGAGGCGCCGAGGGGCTCGAGGGGCGCCTGGGTGCGCCACGCAGCCCCGGCACAGGAGTGTCTAGACACCGCCAGCGCCGTCTCCGTGAACCATGAACGTCTTTCCGTGAAGCGGGAACTAGGGGCCAACGTCGCTGCTGCGCCCGCTGCGTAGCAGCCAGCAAGCACGTACGTCTAGTTTCCTATCGTGCACGCCGATTCGCCGTGAGCGATAGGTGTTGGAGGCCGCCGAGGTGTGAGATTGGCTGCCTTGGCGAGGTACATGGAGGCGCTAGGGAGACCCGCCTGAACCAAAGGAGAAGTGAAGGCAATGGTGTGCCAAAAGCATTTTCCCGGCCGGCGTCGGCATCGGC